CCCACTCCCCTGCACTCATTGGCCATCTTCCAAGTCACTCTACCCCTAATCTACTGCTCCAGCTCAAAGGAATTTCCCCCCCTCCCATCCCATCTCCTAGGGGATATTATCTCCAGGGAAAATAAGTAGGTGAAAAGTCAAACGTCCCTTTCCAGACGCCTCCGCTCCTCCTTCTTATGTCAGCACTAGAGTAAATGCAGCTTGAAGTGCTGACATCTGACTTATTTTATGATTATAATCATGATTTATCACCAGAGGTGGGCTGCTGGGGGTTCGCAGGGGTTCAGGAGAACCTCGAGCTAAGATTCTGTGCAGTTCGGAGAACCCCCAAATCCCACTCCTGGCTGGCCCCGCCCACCCCACCCCGCCCCTCCCAGGAGTCCCCATGTGGCCCGTTTTGGATGCAGGTAAGTGCAGGGCGCACACGGAGGCTCAGGGAGGGTGAAAAACAGGCCTACCGGAAGTTCAGGAAGGCCGGAAATGGCCTGTTTCCAGCCACCAGAGGGTCTCTGGAGCCTGGGGAGGCCGTTTTCGCCCTCCCGGAGACTCAAGAAAAGCCTCCAGAGCCTGGGGAGGGCCAAAATGCCCCCCCACCGTGGTGCAGGAGGCTGACTGGGCCACGCCCACCATGGCCACGCCCACCCATCAACCTTGCTAAAATTTTTGAAGCCCACTCCTGTTTATCACTTATAGCTTTTATGTACACTGCGAGCTTATGCACCGGAGACAAATTCCTTGTGTTTCCAATCACACTCGGCCAATAAATAATTCTATTTCTTTAAGGTTCTATTTAAGGTTTAAAAAAAAAAGTCAGGCGTAGCTCACATAACAAGCCCTTCGTTTAGCAACAGAAATTCTGGTTTCAATTGTGGTCGTACGTCGAGGACTACCCGTGTCACGTCTGCTTCTGCTTTCTATTTTTTTTTTTAAGTCTCATTTTTACCGGGGTGATTTCATGCAGATGTTCCACGGACGTGCGGTTCTGAGATCCTGAAATAGCATCTTCTTTACTCTTATTTAGAACCTGTTTTGATCGAAAATATTCGCTGACTCTTGCAGTCTTCCTGTGCTTGTTTTTCCAGTTTGCAAGTTTAAATGTATTTATGTGTGTGTGTGTGTCTTTTGCAGGATTTCTTCAAAGAAGAAAAGACACAGGTAAGGAGAGAGCTGGCCTTGATCTCTGCCTCAGCACTATAAACCTAGAATCGTAGATTAAACTACTTTTTCCAGTGTTCAGTGAGAGCAACTCTTTGCCAGGATGAATATGATACAGAGACCCCTACAGCTAAGCCCCTCTATTAAAACTTTCCGTATGACAGAACCATTTCTTAATGAACTGAGAATGTTGACATATCCTTATTTTAAAGGGGAATATTTGTAGCTCAGGGTTGAAATGAGGAGTCCGGGGTGCTCCCTGAGCTTGCTTGTTTTCTGGCAGACATCTCATTACCCAACTAGGTAATATAATCAGTGCTAGAAGGGAGTGGGGTTTGCAGGGAGGAGGAGGAGGAAGGGGAGGAAGAGGGGATCCACATAACAACCATGTTACTGACTTAACAATGGCAGTGACTCACTTAACCATTGTGGCAAGAAAGGTCCTTAAAACAGGGTGAAATTCACTGAACCATTGTCTCGCTTAGCCACAGAAAGTTTGGGCTCAGTTGTGGCCATAAGTCGAGGACTACCTGTTGAGAGTGTCGGCATGTAATAAACCTGGATTCAGTTCAATTGCCTAGATTCCAGATTTCTTGACAATGGAATGGAGTGGAGTGGAGTAGAGTAGAGTAGAGTGGAGTGGAGTGGAGTGGAGTGGAGTAGAGTAGAGTAGAGTAGAGTAGAGTAGAATAGAATAACAGAGAGAATAGAATAAAATAAAATATAGAATAGAATAGAGAAAAAGAATAGACTAGACTAGAATAGAGAATAGAATAAAATAAAATATAGAATAGAATAGAATATAGAAAATGCATAGAATAGAATAAAAATTGGAGAATAGAATAGAATAAAACAAAATAAATATAGAATAGAATACAATAGAATAGAATAGACTAGACTAGACTAGAATAGAATAGAATATAGAAAATGAATAGAATAGAATAGAATAGAGAATAGAATAAAATAAAATATAGAATAGAATAGAATATAGAAAATGAATAGAATAGAATAAAAATTGGAGAATAGAATAGAATAAAACAAAATTAAAATATAGAATAGAATAGAATATAGAAAATGAATAGAATAGAATAGAGAATAGAATAGAATAAAATAAAATATAGAATAGAATAGAATATAGAAAATGAATAGAATAAAATAAAATATAGAATAGAATAGAATATAGAAAATGAATGGAATGGAGTGGAGTGGAGTGGAGTGGAGTGGAGTAGAGTAGAGTAGAGTAGAGTAGAGTAGAGTAGAGTAGAGTAGAGTAGAGTAGAATAGAATAGAATAGAATAGAATAGAATAGAATAGAATAGAATAGAATAGAATAGGAGTTAGAAGGGACCTTGGAGGTCTTCTAGTCCATCCCCCTGCTTGGGCAGGAAACCCTACATCATTTCAGACAAATGGTTTACCCAATCTCGTCTTAAAAACCTCAGGAAGAAACTGAATGACGTTTGGACAGATTCGCTCGCTCTAGGGACCTCTGAGAGACGGACGAGGCAGCCAAGTAATCAATCTGTTTCTTATTTAGTTCCTCCAGCCCCAAGAGAAAAAGGAAGGAGGGAAGAAAACACAAGAAGCAGTAAGTTCTGGCTGGGTGCACATCAGTCTGGTAGGCTAAACCGGCACCGGTCTTTCCAGGCGCCCACGATGGATGAGTGGGCGGCTTGTTCAACACAAGCTGTGCAAAAGCATGGTGTACGATGATGATTCTCTTCCAGCCTAGCTGGTGAACGAAGGCGAGAATTACCTCAAAACCATCTCCGTCTTGGCTTGAAACCTGTAGAGAGTTGGGGGGGGGGGGGTGTTGTTTCTTCTCTTCCCTCACAACTCCCTCTTAAGTTCACCATGTTGGTTCCTCACCAAGAACCCTGTGGAGATGTGGTGGGAATTTGGCAGCGTGGAAAGTCCAACTGCTACCCATCGCTAGCTGTCGGTGGGGCATTATAAGCCCATTTTTATCCATTTTTTTTTAAATTAAGTTTTTTCTCTGTAAGTTTCCCCAAGGGGTAGGCAGGAATTATATGCTCCCGGTTCGGACTGAATCGCCCAATCCGGTAGCGATGGTGGTGGGTGGTTCGGAGAACCGGTAGCAAAAATCCTTGCCCCCCTTCCCCATGCCCAGCTGAGCCGTGCGATCATCAGAGGCTTTTTTATTTTATTTTTAAAAGCATTTTTTTCTACAACCTCTTTGGCAGAAAAAATGTTTTTCAAAGTAAAAAAAAAAAGCCTCTGATGATCGTGCGGCTCAGCTGGGATCATCAGAGGCTTTTAAAAGCATTTTTTCTACAACCACTTTCTTTTAAAAGCCTCTGACGATTCCCAGCTGAGTTGCCTGATCGTCAGAGGCTTTTAAAAGCATTTTTTCTACAACCTCTTTGGCAGAAAAAATGCTTTTCAAAGTAAAAAAAAAAAGCCTCTGATGACCGTGCGGCTCATCTGGGATCATCAGAGGCTTTTAAAAGCATTTTTTCTACAACCTCTTTCTTTTAAAAACCTCTGACGATCCCAGCTGAGTTGCCTGATTGTCAGAGGCTTTTAAAAGCATTTTTTAAACCGAATTTTTTCAGTCGAAGAGGTTGGAGAAAAAAGTAAAGAAAACTTCTGGCGATCAGGCAACTCAGCCGGGATCGTCAGAGGCTTTTAAAAGCATTTTTTTACAACCTCTTCAGCCGAAGACGTTGTAAAAAACAGCCGAAAAACAGCCTGAAAAAAAAAAAACCCAAATGGCCTGAAAACAGCCCAAAAAACCGGCCTGAAAACAACATGAAAACTGCCCAAAACCTGGCATGAAAACAGCCTGGAAAATGGTCCGGAAAATGGCCTGAAAACAACCCCAAAAAGGGCCTGAAAATGGCCTGGAAAATGGCCAAAAAACCAGGCATGTGTGCGCCAGCCAGCTGGTTTTTGGGTTTCCGGTGCTCCAGCGCATTCCGGTTTGGGCACTCGGTGCAGAAAAGGTTCGCCATCACTGGTATATTACATTTTATTCCATTGCTTTCTTCTCTCAAAAGCTCTCGCAGTCGTCCACAGAAATCCAAACGCCATCATTACCATTCAAGCTCGGACAGCACCAATTCTCCATCGGAGAGCTACGGGAGCCGGTAAGCAAATCTTCAAGTTTTCCGCGATTCTCTAACTTCATTCTCCTGGTTTTGCAAAGTCAGCTAGTACTAAGAGAGCTTTATTTAGTTCAACCACCGTGCCGGAAGTAGATGAACTGAGAGGAGGGAAGAATAAGAAACTCCACAAAAGAAGAATTATAAAAGGAGAAGAAACGGAAAAGGGAGTCATCTTCTTGCTTTGAAGTGCCTATATGTAGGTGCTTTACTGAAGAGTTAAAAAATACTTCCCAGAATTCATAGAATAGAAAATAATAATAGAATAGAGTAGAGTAGAGTAGAGTAGAGTAGAATAGAATAGAATAGAATAGAATAGAATAGAATAGAATAGAATAGAATAGAATAGAATAGAATAGAGTAGGGTAGGGTAGGGTAGGGTAGAGTAGGGTAGGGTAGGGTAGGGTAGGGTAGGGTAGAGTGGAATGGAATGGAATGGAATGGAATGGAATGGAATGGAATGGAATGGAATGGAATAACAGAGTTGGAAGGGACCTTGGAGGTCTTCTAGTCCACCCCCCTTCTCAGGCAGGAAACCCTACACTACTTCAGACAAATGGTTATCCAACCTCTTCTTAAAAACTTCAAGTGTTGGAGCAGTCACAACTTCTGGAGGCAAGTTGTTCCACTGGTTAATTGTTCCAACTGTCAGGAAATTTCTCCTTAGTTCTAGGTTGCTTCTCTCCTGGATTAGTTTCCATCCATCGTTTCTTCTCCTGCTTTCTGGTGCTTTGGAGAATTGACTCAAAATTCATTGAAGGTCCTGTTTTTGAATGCTAAGTCTACCTCCCAGCAAAGCTACCACGTCAACAGTTGCTGTCATTTTTATTTTATTTTTTTAATCTGGGGGCTCCATCGTTCTGCCTTGTGCGATGTTGCCTATTTTTAAAGAAAAAATAAAACTATAATTCTCATGCGATAGCAAACCCCTCAGAGCATTGGAAGATCCATTGGGAATGACAGATTCCGGTGGCAACATTGCTGAAAATGTTAATAATAGGAGAAGGTAGCAGCTGGGACCACCAGAATACAAACCTACGATTGGAAGTGATCCCTGTTGTGGTGTCACAAGAAATATAATTCATTATTAGCCGTTCCATGTCAACCTATTAGGAGCATTCAACCAAGACTGAGCTAGCCAAGAAGAGCTAAACAGCTGTAGACATTAATCTTTCCTTCAAGATCTCATCCAAGGACCTGGGACCTCAGAATAAATAGAGTAGAATAACAGAGTTGAAAAGGGACCTTGGAGGTCTTCTAGTCCAACCCCCTGCCCAGGCAGGAAACCCTACACCACTTCAGACAAATAGTTATCCAACATCTTCTTTAAAATTTCCAGTGTTGGAGCATCCACAACTTCTGGAGGCAAGTTGTTCCACTTATTAATTGTTCTCACTGTCAGGAAATTTCTCCTTAGTTCTAAATTGCTTCTCTCCTTGATTAGTTTCCATCCATTGCTTCTTGTCCTGCCTTCAGTTGCTTTGGAGAATAGCTTGACTCCCTCTTCTTTGGGGCAGCCCCTGAGATATTGGAAGACTGCTATCATGTCCCCCTTAGTCCTTCTCTTCATTAAACTAGACGTACCCAATTCCTGCAACCATTCGTCACACGATTTAGCCTCTAGTCCCCTATTATTCTTGCTATTGCCACTGCTCGCTTTACGGGCTCTGGAAGTGCAATTTAAGAATGTCTTTGCAATGTAAAGTGGAGGAAACTTTATTTTGACAGACACAGGCTGAAAAGCAGATTCCAAGATGAAAGCCGTAAAGGTAGACCCGGTCGTCCAAGGCGCTCGTCAAAGAAGACTTCTCACGCCAACGATGCAGGAGAGTTGGCTGGGAGCCCTTTTCTTGGCTGCCCCTTGCAGAGCAATTACTTTCTCTCTACCACCGAACTTGTAAGTACCCCCTATCTACTAAATCTCCTTAGTTTGGACTCGAGAGATTTGTATGGTATGTTGTGATACAGTATTATCACCGAAGGGAGTACATCCCCCTCGCGTTTGGTAAAATATTTAAGTACATCTTTTCATGGGACAACCCTGAAGAAACGACACTTTACAATGTAAAGTAGTGAGTAAAGCACAGCTTGTATAAGAAGTGTAAATGTACGATCCCCTCAAAATAACGCAACGCACAGCCATTAACGTCTAAACTGCTGGCAATAAAAATGAGTACACCAGTGGTGAAAACCAATTTTTTTTTACTACCGATTCTGTGGGCGTGGCTTGGTGGGCATGGTGTGGCTTGGTGGGCATGGCAAGGGAAGGAGACTGCAAAATCTCCATTTCCACCCCACTCCAGGGGAAGGATACTGCAAAATCTCCATTCCTTCCCCACTCCAGGGGAAGGAGACTGCAAAATCCCCATTCCCTCCCCACTCTGGGGGAAGGATACTGCAAAATCTCCATTCCCACCCCACTCCAGGGGAAGGAGACTGCAAAATCTCCATTCCCACCCCACTGCAGGGGAAGGAGACTGCAAAATCCCCATTCCCTCCCCACACTGGGGCCAGCCAGAGGTGGTATTTGCCAGTTCTCCAAACCACTCAAAATTTCCGCTACCGGTTCTCCAGAACCTGTCAGAACCTGCTGGATTTCCTCCCTGGAGTACACCCCTAAGTGATAATGTCCAAATGGGGCCCAAAGTGTCAAGATTTTGTGTGGCCATCATTATTTTCCAGCACTGCTTCAACCTTCTTGGGCATAGAGTTCACCAGAGCTTCACAGGTTGCCACTGGAGTCCTCTTCCACTTTTGTTGCCAGCAGTTTAGACACCAATTGCTGCGTGTTGTGTTATTTTAAGGGGAACGCACATTTACACTGTTCTACAAGCTGTACCAGGGGTGAAATCCAGCAGGTTCCGACAGGTTCTGGAGAACCGGTAGCGGAAATTTTGAGTAGTTCAGAGAACCGGCAAATACCACCTCTGGCTGGCCCCGGCGTGGAGATTTTGCAATATCCTTCCCCTAGGAGTGGGCAGGGAATGGAGATTTTGCAGTATCCTTCCCCTGCCACACCCACCAAGCCACGCCCACAGAACCGGTAGTTTAAAAAAAATTGGATTTCACCACTGAGCTGTACACTCACTACTTTACATTGTAGCCCGGTCTCATTTCTTCAGTGTTGTCTCATGAAAAGTTATACTTAAATATTTACAAAATGTGAAGGTGGCGTACTCACTTCTGTGATATACTGTATACTGTTTAAAATCACGTTCTTCATTGGAAATATACTTTTTTGTTTGTTTGTTGGCTTGCTTGCTTGCTCGTCTGATGGAAGTGAGGAAGGAAAGATGGATCTGGGCACCTGGGGAGGGACATAGAAGGAGAGACGGTTTATGCTCTCGACCATGAATAATGAAGAGGAGGCATTTATGAAAGTGGTGGCCTCTAGCTTTGATCTTTGATGAGATGTGTTTTTATGTACCTCTTCTGCTCGGTGTCTGAATCCCTGCCGGCTCTCTTCTGCACCCATTCTCTCAATCTTTGGAGGCGTAAAAGATTAAACCTATAAAAAGAAGCATTTCCGTGAATGTAATTGCAGCACGATGTGTGGGGAGGGGGAGGAAGACAGAGGGGGAAGAGGTGGAGCAGCCTTGGCTGCCTTCAAGCCCAACATCCCTTTTAGATAAGATAGATAAGATAACCCTTATTGTCATTTTTTTTTACTGTGTGCACACTGGCACACATTAAAAATGAAATTCTGTTCTCAAAAGAAAGTATATATATCTACCCATCCCCATACACAACACACATACACTATAAACATGTGATATACATACGGAAAACATATACCTGCACCCAGGGGTGAAATCCAGCAGGTTCTGACAGGTTGTGGAGAACAATCCCAAACAATCTGGGGACCCTGCTCAAGCATCCCTTATATGCCACGTCCTGGATAGAAGGAAGTGAACTCCCAATAATATTTTCTGCTGTCCTCACCACTCTCTCGTACAGCCTTCCTGTCCAAAGCAGTAATGCTTCCAAACCAGACAGTAATGCAATATGACAGGAGGCTCTCCCTCTATAGAAAGTGGTGAGGACAGTGGAAGGAAGTTGTGCTTTTCTCATGCGATGCAGAAAATGCAGGCGCCACTGTGCCCGCTTCACCAGTGTCTCACCATTGAGCGACCAAGCTAGCAGCATCGGCCAAACTCACAGATTCAAGGAGATAGTGGGTGAGCAATCCAAGAAGAAAGAAAGTGTATTGAGTTTGGGTGATGTTTATTTCCTTGCCCAGAGAAGTTAGCAGCGCCAGCTCAAAGTGAATTGGCCATTTTGGTTACAACTTTCTCTATAGTAGTGGCCAAAATTATGGAAGCCTTTTGGGAAAAGTGCATTTTTGAGGTAGACTAAATTGCTAAACTTTAGCTCGGTGATGGCGAACCTTTTTGGCACCGAGTGCCCAAACCGGAAGATATACCAGAGTGCCGGAAACCCAAAAACCAGGTGGCCGGCGTGCGTATGCCTGTTTTTGGGGCCAATTTTTTGGGCCATTTTCAAGCTGTTTTTGGCCCGAAAAAATGGCCTGTTTTTTGCTGTTTTTCAGGCTGTTTTCAGGCCGTTTTGGGGGGCCTGTTTTCGGACATTTTCAGGCCATTTTGGGGGCCATTTTCAGGCTGTTTCTAGACCATGTTCAGGCTGTTTTTTGGGCTATTTTGCAGCTATTTGCCAGGCCGCTTTCTAGCTGTTTTTCTGGCCGTTTTCAGGCTGTTTTTCAGAAACCAGAAGAGCAACTGGCGATGGCACGTGTACCCACAGAGAGGGCCCTGCGTGCCACCTCTGGCACGCGTGCCAGAGGTTCGCCATTACGGCTTTAGTTTACCCTTGTTGGAATAAATATTACTCTGACATCATCAGGTGGTGGTAAATGTCTTTGCCTGAGCTTGGAAGCTATGTAGGGTCAGGCCCGGTCAGTATTTGGATGGGAGATAAGTAGATAATGTTGGCGCTGTTGGCTCAACTACCAAGTTATTTTTTTTAAAAAATCACCAAGAAAACAGTGACAAATCATTTCCCTCTCGCAGCCAAAGAAACGACACGATTATGTCCCTTAAGCCCTTAAAAGCCACGCTTGATCTGAAGTCTTTATTATCATTCCAGCTTTCACCGTATCTTCCTGATACATTCGCACTCCAAGGTAGAACTTCTGAGTTAATTAAAAATAAACGAGGGGGGTATTTAAAAGAAGAAGGCTTCAATCAGTCCCAGCTGCCAGTCTGACTTTGTCAACCACGACACGAATGTTCCCATGGAACGCAACTCACTTCAGACTTAAGATCCCTGTAAATGATTTTTTATATTCTTTAAACAATCAACCATTTCGGTGTGAAAAGTGGACGACAATGCTCCTTTCATAAGCTGTACGGGTAGTCCTCGACTTACAGCCCGCAATTGAGCCCCAAATTTCCAGTGGCTAGATGAGTTTTGCCCCATTTTATGACCTTTCTTGCCACCATTGTTAAGTGAATCACTGCAGTTGTTCAGTTAGGAACACGGTTGTTAAGTGAATCTGGCTTCCCCATTGACTTGGGAGGTACTTGTTGGGCGGGGCTGAAATGTGTGGTAGGAGGAGCCAGACAGAATAGAATAGAATAGAATAGAATAGAATAGAATAGAATAGAATAGGGGAGGGGAGGGGAGGGGAGAGGAGAGGAGAGGAGAGGAGAGGAGAGGAGAGGAGAGGAGAAGAGAAGAGAAGAGAAGAGAAGAGAAGAGAAGAGAAGAGAAGAGAAGAATAGAATAGAATAGAATAGAATAGAATAGAATAGAATAGAATAGAATAGAATAGAATAGAATAGAATGAAGACGGAATGGAATGGAATGGAATGGAATGGAATGGAATGGAATGGAATGGAATGGAATACAAGGAGGAGGAAAATAGAGTAGAGTAGAGTAGAGTAGAGTAGAGTAGAATAGAATAGAATAGAATAGAATAGAATAGAATAGAATAGAATAGAATAGAATAGAATAGAATAGAATAGAATAGAATAGAATAGAATAGTTTCCACCCGCTGCTTCTTGTCCTGCCTTCAGGTGCTTTGGAGAATAGCTTGACTCCTTCTTCTTTGGGGCAGCCCCTGAGATATCGAAACACTTTAACATACGTGGACTTCAACTCCCAGCATTACTAGCTGGGGAATTCTGGGAATCGAAGTCCACATATCTTAAACTGCCAAGGTTGAGAAACACTGCAGTAGAGGCATTAGAGAAGATGCTGCCGAAAAACCGAGATGGCTGGTTCCATCTGTCTCAGTCCACAAATTTATCGTTATTTCTCCAAGGGCCCATTCGATGCCCAGGAAACCATGTTCTTCAGCTTAATTGAAAACCTCATCGCAATGGTGCTTGAGCAACTCTCTTCCGATCGGCTGCTTCTTGAGCAAAGCGTTCGAGGCAAATTAAAACCTGAGCTGAAATTATAGACTGCTCGCTCGTCTTGTGCCTACCTGGGCTTCCTTCTGCTATTTTTAGTGAAATTAATCCCTCAAGGCTCTTAGAAGCTGGCGCAACCTCACACTCGCATCTTAAAAATCACATCCTACCGTTCAACTGTTTGGAAACCCTACCATTCCAAACACCCCTTCACATACTGTAGCTACCGGTTCACCCAGCACCGGAAACTTGAGTGCGCACCATCCGCACATACGCGTGGCCGGCAATTCGCTCTCACGCACCATCCACACATACGTGCGACATCAAAAACACAGCGATATAGGATGGGATTGCGCCCAGGGGGGGTGTGGATGGGTCACCACAAACAATTTGCCCGAACCGGTCCGAACCAGTTGAATCCCACCTCTGCTACCATATATCTGACATTAGTACAATTGAGCGGGTTCAAAAGTATTTGACGAGAAAAGCTTTGCACTCTTCTAGAATAGGATAGGATAGGATAGGATAGGATAGGATAGGATAGGATAGGATAGGATAGGATAGGATAGGATAGGATAGGATAGGATAGAAAAGAATATAGAAAATGAATAGAATAGAATATAGAAAATGAATAGAATAGAATAAGGAAAGACGGAAGGAAGATGGAATGGAATGGAATGGAATGGAATGGAATAGAATAGAATAGAATAGAATAGAATAGAATAGAATAGAATAGAATAGAATAGAATAGAATAGAATAAGAAAGGAAGGAAGGAAGATGGAATGGAATGGAATAGAATAGAATATAGAAAATGAATAGAATAGAATAGAATAGAATAGAATAGAATAGAATAGAATAGAATAGAATAGAATAGATAGAATAGAATATCCAGAGTTGGAAGGGACCTTGGAGGTCTTCTAGTCCAACCCCCTGCTTAGGCAGGAAACCCTACACCACTTCAAACAAATGGTTCTCCAACATCTTCTTTAAAACTTCCAGTGTTGGAGCATTCACAACTTCTGGAGGCAAGTCGTTCCACTGATTAATTGTTCTAACTGTCAGGAAATCCCTCCTTAGTTCTAAATTGCTTCTCTCCTGGATTAGTTTCCACCCGTTGCTTCTTGTTCTACCCTCATTCTGTACATAAAAGAATTCCCTATGCTACTGGGCTCGAAATTCTCAGTTTGGATAACTTGGAACTGCGTCACTTGCGGTCGGACTTAGATATTGCGTACAAAATTGTACGTAGTCATGTTTTACCTGCAAATGATTTTTTTTCTCTTTTAATCGCAATAATACGCGTGCAAACAACTGCTTTAAACTCAATGTAAATCGTTCTAAACTTGACTGTAAAAAATACGATTTTTGTAATAGAGTTGTCAAAGTCGGAAATGCTCTACCTGATTCAGTTGTCTCAGCTACAAATTTTCACAGTTTTAGTCACAAATTGACAAATTCCGTGGAACTCATTTCATACTTCAGAGGTCCGTAAAGGGAGCGTGCATAAGCGCACTAATGTGCCATCGTCCCTGTCATTGTATTTATATAGTATTCCTGTTTTTGTGTCTGTTTGATAAATTATAATAAATAAAATAAAATAAAAACAAGGGGAAAGTGTTTTCACAAACGAGGAAAATCTGAACTGGGTTATCACATTAACATGGAAATAAATGCAGCGTCTATGTTTGTTGAATGAATAGCATTTGTTCTATGTATGTATGTATGAATGAATGAATGAATGAATGAATGAATGAATCCTACATTTTGTGTTGTTCTGTTTTCAAATCTTTGATTTGCTGGGAATTTTTTTGTTTTGTTTTTTTTGTTTTTTTAATTTTTGCATTAAAGATCTTGGACTTGGGATCCATTAGACTGGAGGAATTTGAGAGGATTTGAAAGAAAAAAAAAGTAGAATATTAAAAAAATAAAATAAAAAGCAAATACTTGATTGGTCGAACAGAAGAAGAAAGAAAGAAAGAGAGAGGGGTTGACATTTGATTTTCATTCTTTTTTTTTTTTAAATCTCTCTTGTAATTTAAAACTCTAACCATGGACTTACGTTCCCCAATCTTCCCTTTTTCTTACACCTTACCTACTAAAGGAGGAAGTCTTGCTTGGTAAGTGAATGCTAACCGCAAGCTGTCAGGATATTAATTATTAGAGGTCACACAGAAATATTCTACCAGGGGGATACACACAGCCATCTATGTCTGCCTTCTTTCTCTAAAAAGGAAATTTTAATTTTTAATTGATTTGGTTTTCCTTATTTTGTTTTCCTCTCTCTCTCTCTCTCTCTCTTTCTCTCTCCCTCTCTCTTTCTCTCTCTTTCTCTCTCTCCTTCTCTTCCTCTTGTCTCTCTATCTCTCTCTCTCTCTCTCTCTCTCTGTTTTTAGTTATGATATAAAAAATAATTAACGAAATTTGTGAGCTAGATTTTCTTTATTTCCTTTCTAAAAAGACATATTCTGTCCCAGAGGTTATCATCCAGGGGTGGGATTCAAAAATTTTAGCACCTGCTTCTCTGGCCGGTTGCTGGGTGGGCGTGGCCATGGTAAGCGTGGCCTACTTGCCATGGTAAGCGTGGCCTACTTGGTGCCGCGTGGCCAGCGTGCACCATGGTGGGGGGACGTTTTTGCCCTCCCCAAGCTCTGGAGGCTATCCTCAAGCCTCTGGGAGGGCGAAAATGGCCTCCTCCGCGCTCCGGAGCCCCTCCGGAGGCCGGAAACGGGCCTGTTTCTATACTTCCAGTAGGCCTGTTTTTTGCCCTCCCCAGGCTCCAGAGGCTTTCTTCAAGCCTCCAGGAGGGCGAAAACAGCCTCCCCCGGGCCCTAGGGGCCCTATGGAGGCCAGAAACAGGCCCGTTTCCAAACTTCCAGGAGGCCTGTTTTTTGCCCTCCCAGAGCCTCCGTGTGGGCCCTGCACTTGCCTCTCACTCAGAAAGTTGAGAGTTCAATCCTAGGTGGCGACAGGTGTTTCTCTATCAGAATGAGCAATGAGAAAATTTCTGCTGTGAACTCCGCATAGGCATCAGGAAGGGCAACCAGCCAGGAAATGCTCAGGTCTATTCAGTTGCCCTGACCTCACTTTGGAGCAAGGGATTACAGGCTCATACAAAGAAAGTTAGTTCCTGACCTGTCTACTTTGGAGGGCTGACAGAATATAGACCTGACAAACTGGGCTACAGTTTAACCATGATTGATTCAAGCATTCAGACAATTGTTCAGTTTGAATAGAACAACAGAAACACACAAATTTGCCTGGATGGCGCCAGTAGGATTTTTGTACCATTTTGTCTAATTTCTACAACTGGATGTCTTTTTTTTTTCCTGTGACAATCTATTTCTATTGCTTCTTTTTGTCTCTTTTGGTTTTTCTTACATTTTCTTAACCTCCTCTGATTTCTACCTTATAAAAAAATTATACAGACTCACTTTTCCGTCAACATGGACCGCATGCTATTAATATTCTTTGCATGATTTAAAAACTTTTAAAAAAATTTAAAAACTTTCCGATTATATCTGGGGGAGAGAGAAAAAAAAAGACAGCGACATATGCATTTCTTTCTTTTAGGTAGATGTGATTTGAGTTCAAACTTTTTTCTTTCTTTCTTTCTTTCCCTTCCTTCCTTCCTTTCTTTTTCTTCCTTCCTTCCTTTCTTCTTTCTTTCTTTCTTCTTTCTTTCTTTCTTTCTTTCTTCCTTCCTTTCTTTATTTCTGTTTCTTACCTTGTAACTTTCTTCCTTCTTTGCCTTAGATTACAGATAGAATCCTAATGGTAAATAAGAACAAAAACACCAGAATAACAAAAATAAAAAGGGTGAATCGGTCAAGCAAGTAAATAGAGCCCAACGTCTTACACACACCACCCAATTTTTGGGGGAGGATTTGTCTTTTCTTTTTGTGGGTCCGAGAATTAAATCCTGGCAAAACATGTCTCTTTTTGGTTACAGATCTCAAATTCCAGGTCTGCAACTGGCCTCTTTAAAAAAACAGCGGGCCAGTTGGGCAACCAAATCAAAGAGAACGGAGATGCTCACGAATACGATTCGGGCAATGCAACCTCTTCCCCTCCTTCCGTTCAGACCAGCACATCCAGGTCAAAAGGCAGCCAAGAAACCAAGGGTGAAGCCCCCGATGGCTTCGGCCAGGCCTTCTCTTCCGGGAAGGCCAGCAGTGTCAGCAGTCCTGATTCGGGGAATTCACTGCACAGCTACAGCTCCCAATCCAAAGGAGTGGTTTTAGAAGAGCCGAGTCCGTCTCCCCAGGATCTGTGCAAAGATCAAAAGTAAGTAATAGTTTTCTTCAGGAGGTGACGAGGATGTTAGCCATTCAGTCGTGTCTGACTCTTGGTGAGGCTCTATGACAGGCATGTCAAACTCAATTTCATTGAGGGCCCCATCAGGGTTGTGTTTGACCTCAGGGAGCCTGGGTGGGCATGACCAGCTCGACGTCACTTGTATCGGGGGCACCTGTGGTGTGCCCGAGCGCTCGGCCAGCGAAAACGGCCTCCTGCAACCCTCTGCCAGCAAAAACGGAGCTCGGGTGGGCCGCCGGCAGCCCTCCCGAGTTCCATTTTCACTGGTAGAAGCACCGCGGACCAGTCCTTTGCTGTTTCCAGGGCAGCCCTGAGGGCCAGATCTAAGCATCCTGTGGGCCGGTGGTGGAATAGAATTGTTAAAGAAAGGATGCCAAAGGAGGGACAAAATGAAATGTGAATGAGAAAACTTAAAATATTTTTTTGAATTTTATTTTAAATAATTAAATTAATGTATCCATGTACATGGAGAGAAAAACGAATCTTGTGAGTTTACCAGATGGATGGCATAGGGAAGAAAGCTGTTTCAGAATCTGGTAGTCCTGCTAGAGATACTTTGAAACCTCCTCCTGGAGGGGAGCAACAGAAATAGACAGAAAAGAGGGTGTGTGGGGTCGAAATGATGCTTCAAGCTCTAAGCACATAGCGCTTATAAGCAATATCCTGAATAACAAGAAACGAGCTTCCTGTAATCTTCTCCGCTGTCCTCACCACTCTCTGTAGGGACTTTCTATGTGAGGCACTGCTGCCACCAAATGAAACAGTGACGCAATTTGTTAAAACCCTCTCAAGCGTGCCTCTGTAAAAACCGTCCAGGACAGAAGGAGAAAGATGTTTTTTCTCCTCTGTTTTTGAAAGCTGTGTGTCTTGTAAAAGATGTACATCCTCACAGGTCTCCGGCCATCTAGAATCACTGTCCTTTCTGGAAAACCTTCTCTTTTCAGTGGAGAGCCTTGGCCGTCTCTTCAGCCTCTCGGAAAGAAAAAGGCCAACATTGTCTTGCCACCATTTTCCAGTTCTCCACTTCAGCCATGTCTTCGAAATGTATCTCCTTCTAGCAGATCATCTCTGGACTCTAGCCACTCTGTGGGACGCAGATCTTCACCAAGCCCGTCTTGTTGTTCCTCAAAATCAAGGTGAGTAATCTGCTGGGTAATTTGTTTATTTAATTTATTTGCACCCTGCCTTTCTTATTTTTACGAATAACTCGTGGCGGTGAACACATATCTACCTCCTCCAATTTTTCCCACCACAGCAACATTGGGACTAGAACTCACCACCTCCTGGCGGTTGGCCCAATGTCATCCAGTTGGCTTTCATGGCTGAGATGGGACTAGAACTCACAGTCTCCAGCTTTCTAGCTTAGTGTCTTAGCTACTAAACCAAACTACTCAAGGGAAGGATGCGGTGGATCAGTGGCTAAGATGCTGAGCTTGTTGATCAAAAGGCCGGCAGTTCAGTGGTTCGAATCCCTAGTGCCGCGTAACGGGGTGAGCTCCCGTGACTTGTCCCAGCTTCTGCCAACCTAGCAGTTCGAAAGCAGATAAAAAATGCAAGTAGAAAAAATAGGGACCACTTTTGGTGGGAAGGTAAGAGCGTTCCATGCGCCTTTGGCATTGAGTCATGCCGGCCACATTCCCCGGAGGGAATGGAGATTTTACAGTATCCTTCCCCTGGAGTGGGGTGGGAACGGGGATTTTACAGTATCCTTCTCCTGGAGTGGGTTGGGAATGAGGATTTTGCAGTATCCTTCCCCTGGAGCGGGGAGGGAATGGGGATTTTGCAGTATCCTTCCCCTGGAGTGGGATGGGAATGGAGATTTTGCAGTATCCTTCCCCTGGAGTCGGGTGGGAATGGAGATTTTGTAGTATCCTTCCCCTGCCATGCCCACCAAGCCACACCCACCAAGCCCACCAAGCCACGCCCACAGAACCGGTAGTAAAAAAAAAAATTGGATTTCACCACTGGAAAAAACATACCACCACCATCATTGGCAGGGCCTGTAGATAAACAGGGAGCAGCAAAGCCCTCCTTCCCTCACATGGATGATGTTATTTAGTCAGGTAATGAAATGCCTGCAAACAAAAACAACAACCAATCTCAGAGACTCACAATTCAACCTGTGTTGTATGCATTTATTGCCTTCAATTGTAAAAATTATTTCCAGAATTTCTTCCCCAGTTGCAAAAACTGCTTACGTTCTAACCTCTCGCTGCCTTTGGGGTTCTCCCTGTAAAATCAGAAGCGTTTCTTTTTCTCGGCCATCCGCAAACGGCTAAACCTGTTGTGCACATCACAGTAAACCAGATTTGCCAAGAATTTTGAATAACCTGGCAGAAACAAGCACGTTTATATAAGCATAATCCTACAAAGGGGCTTTTAAGTCACAGTTTGGTGACCAAGAAGTAATGGTCTGATTTGCATATAATGTGGGTGGATTTGCATATCTACTAAACCAGAAGTAAACAAACCATGCAGCCATTTAATGCAATGAATGAATCTGCTTTCGGTCTCATCATTTTAGCTCATCAAAGCAGGAAAGAAGGAAGGAAGGAAGAAAGGAAGGAAGGATATTCCATGGAGAGGAAGAAAGAAGGAAAGGAGGGAGGGAGGGCTAAAAGAGGGAGGGAGGGAGGGAGGGAAGAAGAGAGGGAGGATGTAACTAAGGAAGGAAAGAAGGAAGGAAGGAAGGAAGGAAGGAAGGAAGGAAGGAAGGAAGGAAGGAAGATATTCCATGGAGAGGAAGAAAGAAGGAAAGGAGGGAGGGAGGGCTAAAAGAGGGAGGGAGGGAGGGAAGAAGAGAGGGAGGATGTAACTAAGGAAGGAAGAAGGAAGGAAAGAATTCCATGGAGAGGAAGAAAAGGAAGGAAGGAAGGTATTCCATGGAGAGGAAAGAAGAAGGAAAGGAGGGAGGGAGGGAGAAGAGAGGGAGGGTGTAATGCAGGAAGGAAGGAAGGAAGGAAGGTATTCCATTGAGAGGAAGGAAGAAGGAAAGGAGGGAGGGAGGGAGGGAAGAAGAGAGAGAGGGTAACGCAGGAGGAAGGAAGGAAGGAAGGAAGGAAGGAAGGAAGGAAGGAAGGAAGGAAGGTATTCCATGGAGAGGAAGGAAGAAGGAAAGGAGGGAGGGAGGGAAGAAGAGAGGGAGGGTGTAATGCAGGAAGGAAGGAAGGAAGGAAGGTATTCCATGGAGAGGAAGGAAGAAGGAAAGGAGGGAGGGAGGGCTAAAAGAGGAAGGGGGAGGGAGGAAAGAAGAGAGGGAGGGTGTAACGAAGGAAGGAAGGAAGGAAGGAAGGAAGGAAGGAATTCCATGGAGAGGAAGGGGTGGAAGGGAGGGAGGGGGGAGGGAAGGAAGGAAGAAGGTATTCCATGGAGAGGAAGGAAGAAGGAAAGGCAGGAGGGAGGGCTAAGAGAGGAAGGAAGGGAGGGAGAGAGGGAAGAAGAGAGGGAGAGTGTAACGCAGGAAGAAAGGAAAGGACCTGTCTGGACCAGAAGCAAATCCCTGCTTTTCTCCATACTCTCTTAAACCCCTCTTCTCTTCTCAGACTCTCTTCCCGTTCTCCCAGTTACTCCCCTAAGTCCTGCAAGAGAGCGACTGGAGGCAGGAATTCAAGATCCCGACGCAGCCCCAGCTATTCTCAATATAAGCCTGGCAGGTAGGTCTAAACATCCCTGATCCCCACCCCACCCCCCCGGCTGGAAATCCACCCAGTGCCCTGGGATCCACCTTGCAGATTTCAACCCTGGATTATTGTAAACTGAAGGGGAATCCCATTCAGAGGATGCCCTAAGCAAAAAGACTGTCTCGCGTAGCCACAAAACTCTGGGGCTCCATTGTGGTCGTAAATTGAGGATGACCTGTCATTCAGCCAAGTATACAAACCACATTTTTAGAGTTAGATCGGCACAATCTGGGTTGAGCAATCTTGCTTCCCGACCCCGTCATCAAGACAGCGCTTAACCTTCCTGGAAATGTCTTTTCTCAGAGGTCGTGAACAAGATCACAGTTACGGCTCCAGTGGGAAGGAGTCCCACCGGCATCAGGGCCGCCACCGCCGCAAACAATGCTATTCCCCCATGAGGAAGCGTCGGAGAGATTCTCCCAGCCACTTGGAAGCTCGGCGGATAACCAGGTGAGGGGGGGGTGTCTTTTCTCTCTATCCCTATGAGCCGCGGTGGCGCAGTGGTTAGAGCGCAGGACTGCAGGCTGCTTCTGCTGACTGCCGCTGCCTGCAATTTGGCAGTTCGAATCTCACCAGGCTCAAGGTTGACTCAGCCTTCCGTCCTTTAGAGGTGGTTAAAATGAGGACCCAGATTGTTAGGGGCAATAGGCTGATTCTGTAAACCGCTTAGAGAGGGCAGTAAAGCACTGTAAAGCGGTCTATAAGTCTAAATCTATTGTTATATCTCTCTCTCTTTCTCTATCTATCTATCTATCTATCTTTCATCTTTCTATCTACTGTTTACCTGTCATCCATCCATCCATCCATCCATCCATCTATCTATCTACTATCTACTACCTATTTTCCTTTTTTAAAAAATAGTTTTTATTGAACGTTTTCCAACTTTAAAAAACACAAATAAAAAAGGAAAAAAGAAAAAGAAAATACAAATACAAACAAGTAAAAAACAGGAACAATACAACAGTGTAATATAATTTTACAGGAGGGAAGGAAATGGAAAATAGAAGGGAAGGGAAGGGAAGGGAAGGGAAGGAAAGGAAAGGAAAGGAAAGGAAAGGAAAAGAAAAAAGAAGGGAAGGGAAAGGAAGGGAAGGAAAGGAAAAAGAAGAAAGGGAGGAAAGGAAAGGAAAAGAGGAAAGAAAAGAAAAAGAAAAGAAAAAAGAAAGGAAAGAGAGAGAAGGAAAGGAAAGGAAGAAGAAAGGGAGGAAAGAAAAAGAAAAAAGAAAAGAAAGGGAGGGAAGGGAAGGGAAGGAAAGGAAAGGAAAGAAGGAAAGGAGAGGAGAGGAGAGGAGAGGAAAGGAAAGGAAAGGAAAGGAAAGGAAAGGAAAGGAAAGGAAAGGAAAGGAAAGGAAAAGATAACCCATAAATCACAACTTCAATCTTTTCCCTTGTTTTCAGCAAAACCAAGACAGCAGGAACATCTGGGGTGTGTTGTGTTTCCTATTTGTAAAGAAAGGATAGAAAGGGAACAGTGGACATAAATCTCACGCCTCTCTCCCCCTCCCTCTCGATTTTCCCTCTCCAGTGCCCGAAAGCGCCCCATCCCTTACTATAGACCGAGTCCTTCCTCCTCCTCCTCTCCCGGCAGTTCGAGTGTTTACTCCTCAGGATACAGCTGTCTCGGTTACTCTCCAACCCGGAGCCGCAGTTACTCCAGCGATAGGACCAGCTGCAGCCGGAGTTGGAGTAGTTACGCCAAGAGCAGCCGAAGCCGGAGTAGCGGAGGGAGAAGCCGTCCGCGAAGTAGTAGCCGAAGCAGCAGCAGCAGCAGCAGCCACAGTTCTGCCTCGGTGGGCAGCTATGACAGTTTGCGGCGTTCGTAGCCGCCCTGCGTTGTGGATTGCAATCATCTGCCTCTACTCCAACCCACCCAAAGGGACAACCTTCTCCAGATGATCCTCCATCCATCAAGTTCTTGGAATCATGTAGCCTACCATGGCCCTGGGGTAGGGGGGAACGTCTAAATGGAAGACCTCCCCTTTCCAATGTCATGCGGTCCCCGTTGTAGACATTTTTCTGGCCCTCACTCTGGTTGTGGTTGCGTTTCCACCACACGCCGGCCTTCGGTTTGTGGAAAGGGACCCACCCAAAGGGACAATCTTCTCCAGATGATCCTCCATCCATCAAGTTCTTGGAATCATGTAGCCTATCATTGCCTGGGGTAGGGGCAAAGTCTGAAAGGAAGACCTCCCTTTCCAATGTCATGTGGTCCCCGTCTTCTGGCCCTCACTCTGGTTGTGGTTGAGTTTCCACCAAACACCGGCTCTCGGTCTGCGGCTTCGCTTCTTTTTGCGTCAACGGAACCTCTTTGGGTGGGGGTGGCATGGAACAATGTAGGGCCAAGCGAGAAATACGATTGATTTTTTGGGGAGTGGGGTGGCAAGCTCATTGGGTCAATGGAGGAGACCACCGAGAAGATGTCTCTGGTTCTTCTACAGAAATGGAAAGGTGGAAACCTCTCAACTTCTCCTTCATGCTAGGAAGGATGTCCTTCCGTGCAAGCCCCAGAATGTCTGAGCCATACGGGATATATGTCATCCGTTCCCTTCCCACCTGCCTCCCACCGACTAGCTCTCTACAGGTAGCCCTCAACTTACAACAGTTTGTTCAGTGATTGTTACGACGGTATTGGAAAAAAGTGACTTACGACCATTTTTTCACACTTACAACCATTTGTGATCCAAATTCGGTTACTTGGCCACTGGTTCATATTTATGACGGTTGCAGCATCCCGGGGTCATGTGATTCCCTTTTGCGACCTTCTGACAATAGGGAAGCCAGATTCCCTTAACAACCATGTCACTAAGTGAACAACTTGCAGAGTTTCCCTGAACGGTTGTGGGAAGAAAGGTCGTAAAACAGGGCAAAACTCACGTAACCACTGTCTCGCTTAGCGATGGATATTTGGACCCATTGGGGGTTGTAAGTCGAGGACTACTTATATTTCAAGGCCAGAGGGCCAAATAAATACATACCTTACCACCTTCTCCCAACGAGTCAAGCCACCGAGGTCTAGTCCACCCACCCCAAAAGGAGGACCTTACTTAGAGGGGCTACTCCAGGGACACCTAACAATCCCTCTCTTTGCTCTGTCAATTCAGCTTTGTTTTCTATTTCTTCCGTTATTTATTCATTATTTATTAGCTCGACCATTCTGTTGGAATGAGCAGAAAATGGTGGCACTGCCATTATCGATTTTTAATTTATTGCATTTTTGCTTTTTGTTTTAGTATTGTTATGTTGTTATCGGGGTTCCAAGGAACACCCTCAACGAAAGAAAACTCCGAGGCTTGAAGTTCCTCAAAGTTCCATTTTATTAAGAGATGTCATATTGGCACGTCTGGAAAAAAACCGAATCTGAAAGTTTCCAGGTTTTCCCCACCCAAAGGAAAGTCCAAGTCCCTGCCAATCACCCACATGTCCATCATGTGGTCCAATCTCCAACTGGAGATGCTTCCCAGTCACACCCCTCCAGGTGCAGGGCAAGATGGCCTTGACTTTCTGAGAAAAGAATGTTATTATATATCATCGGGATGCGGTGGCTCAGTTGCTAAGACACTGAGCTTGTCGATCGAAAGGTTCGGCAGTTCAGCGGTTCAAATCCCTAGTGCCGCGTAACGGGGTGAGCTCCCGTGACTTGTCCCGGCTTCTGCCAACCTAGCAGTTCGAAAGCAGGTAAAAAATGCAAGTAGAAAAATAGGGACCACCTTTGGCGGGAAGGTCACAGCATTCCGTGCGCCTTTGGCGTTCAGCCATGCACAGGACCACGGAGACGTCTTCAGACGGCGCTGGCTCTTCGGCTTGGAAACGGAGATGAGCACCACCCCCTAGAGTCGGGAACGGCTAGCACATATGCGTGAGGGGAACCTTTATCTATATCACCCATGCTCCACACAATTCCCCCCTCCCAGTTTCCCACAGTAATAAACCTGGCAGGCCTGAAGATCCAATGAAAAAGATGGCGTCCAAGCCTGACAGAAAGATTTGGAGGTTTGGTTGGCTTGGAGACCCACAAGTTATGTTTCAGCCTACTGATCTCTTCAGCTGCTTCGAGCAGCTGCTTCTCACCATCTAACGCAAAGAAGAAAAACCCGGCTTAATGGTGGCGCCCGCTAAGCCAACTTCCAAACCTGGTTGATTTTTTCTCCTCAAAGAAACAGACACGATGTCTCGGTGATCAGGGCTATTCTCCTCTTTGTTCTGTTCTGTTTTTGTTCTGTTCTGTTTTAAATAATTGGAGCCATAAAGCAGCTAAGAAGAAGAGATCAAATAAAATACACCTACAGGTATTCCATGACTTAACAACGTGAAAAAAAAACATCACTGAAAAAAGTGACTTCTTGTGACTGTTTTTTATCCTTACAACCATTACAGCATCCAGGGGGAGGAGTCAAACAGGGAATTAGTCCGCAATCATTACACCGGCAAGGTGTGATCCTCAATCACTCGGAATAGAAGCCGGAAGGGACTTTGGAGGTCTTCTTGTCCAACTCCTTGCTAAAGCAGGAGACCCTAAACCACCACAGGTGGCACACGGAGCCATATCTGTGGGCACGTGAGCGTTGCCCTAGCTCAGCTCCAGCACACATGCGCGCGCCGGCCACCTAATTTTTGGCCCTTCCGGACCCACCAGAAGTCAGGAAATGGGCTGTTGACAGCCTCCAGAGGGCCTCCATGGGGGTGGGGAAGGCAGTTTGCATCCTCCCCAGGCTTCTAGAAAGCCTCTGGAGCCTGGGGAGGGCGAAAAACGGGCCTACTGGGCCCACCGTGCCATTGCATGCCAAAAGCGGGGGGAGCGCAGAGGGGTCACGCACACAGGTGTGTGGGGGGGGTTGCATTGAATTATGCGTGTGAGCATGCACGTATGCAAACCCCCCATACTCCCCCCACTTTTGGCATGTAACGGCAAAAAGTTAGCCATCACTGCCCGAAACCATTTCAGACAAGTGGTTGTCCAGTCTCTTCTTTAAAGATCTCCAGTATTGAGACACCCCACAACTCCTTGTGGCAAGCTGTTCCACTGGTTAATTGTCCTCACTGTTAGGAAGTTTCTCCTTTATTCCCCCTTGAATGCCACTGAACTACCTATATCTTTCTGGCTCTAGACTAGATAAGATACTTATCTAGATAAGATATTTACAGTATTTTACCTAGTCTGGCTCAGATTCAAACTACCAATCTAGAAATATTCCTACCACAAATGGGAACCAGATTTTTCATTGCTAAACAAGGCAGTGGTTATATCGGAGTTGTGCCCAATTGTACAATCTTTTTTGTTACAATTCTTAAGCAACCTACTGCCATTGTTCAGCAAATCATCTGGCCATTAGCAAACCTGCCTCCCCCCCCCACCCCACCCCCATGCATTGACTTTGCTTGGCGGAAGCCACCTGAGAAAGTCACGGAGGACTTGACAATCGTGGCAAGAAAGGTTGCAAAACTCACTTTCCTCACTCAAGTGAGGAAAGGAAAAGAGAAAAGAAAGGGAGGGAAGGGAAGGGAAGGAAAGGGAGAGAAGGAATGGAAGAAACGGAGGAAAGAAAAAGAAAAAAGAAAGGAAAGAAAAGGGAGAGAAGAAAAGGAAAGGAAGAAGAAAGGGAGGAAAGAAAAAAGAGAAAGGAAAGGAAAGGAAACAGGCTCACCTTCCAGCACATTCTAGAAGCGTCTCATTGTTTGGCATACTGTACAATCCCACGATGAGTTCATTCATTTCAATGAATGAGCAAGGACTGAATGAGGGCAGCGACCGCACTTCCTGTTTTGCCTTCGTCCTTGGCAACCGAGCGGCTGGAAAACAAAGGTTTCCCCCGACCTTCCGATTTTAAATGCTACCTTGGATCTCTCTGTATTCTTTGATCTTCCCACCGGAGTTCATGTAACACATGCAAAGGAGCCAATAAAAAAAAAAAAAAGAAACCAAAAAAGGAAAAGAAAAAGAAAACACACAACAACACCTGCAGTATTTCATTGCTGTGATGTGGTTTTCCCTTCCCAGAAATTCACAGGCACGGATCTTTGCATAATCTGTCCGACCTGGAATAATTTGTGCTTCCCATGAGAATTCTGGGTTGGGTTTGTTCGACGATCCGCAAGTTGGTTTTTTTGGTTGTCCACAATATTCTCAATAGCCTTCTCCATCACTGAAAGTTGAAAGGTGTCCACCCTCTTTCTATCCTATGTTTATTTTTATCTTGTTTTTAGGGTACAGCGTACAATGTCAGGGAAATCTACACATACTAGACCAGGGGCGTCGAACTCAAGGCCCGTGGGCTGGATGTGGCCTACAGGGGTCCTTAGATCTGGCCCGCAGGGCTCCCCTGGAAACAGCAAAGGACCGGCCAGCAGTGCCTCTGCCAGCAAAAATTGAGCTTGGGACACTGGTTGGATTCAGCCGGTTCAGGCCGGTTCAAGAAAACCGGTTGTTAAATTGCTGGCTGGCTCCGCCCCTCCCCTCCCCTTCCAGCAGTCCCCACACGCCCTGTCTTGGCTCCCGGGAAAGTGCAGGGAGGCCTACTAGGCCCAAAACCAGGAACAGGGTGGAGGCGCCCAGAGGTGGGTTTCAGCAGGTTCTGACCAGTTCTGGAGAACCGGTAGCGGAAATTTTGAGTAGTTCGGAGAACCGGTAGTAAAAATTCTGACTGGCCCTGCCCACATCTATTCTCTGCCTCCCGAGTCCCAGCTGATCGGGAGGAAATGGGGATTTTGCAGTAACCTTCCCCTGGATTGGGGAGGGAATGGAGAATTTACAGTATCCTTTCCCTGCCACACCCACCAAGCCACACCCACAGAACCGGTAGTAAAAAAATTTGAAACCCACCACTGGTGACGCCCCCCCACCGCAGCATATTTTTGCTCCCAGGGGGGTGCAGGAGGCCGAATGCTGTCTGTCACATCCCCAGGTCACGCCCACCCTGGCCACACCCACCCAGCCAATCATTAGGGCAGAGAACCAGTTGTTAAATTATTTTAATCCCACCACTGGCTCGGGAGGGCCACCGGCGGCCCTCTCAAGCTCCATTTTCACTGGCAGAGGCTTATAGGAAGCCGTTGCTCGGGAGCCCGTTTTTGCTGGCAGAGCACTTGGGCCCCCACAGGCGCCCCCAACACGAGTCACATCAAGCTGACCAAGCCCCCTCTGCCCCCCCACCAAGGTCAAACACAACCCTGATGCAGCTCTCAATGAAATTGAGTTTGATACCCCTGTGTTCGACACCCAATCCAATCCTGACCGCCTAGATTGCAAGTTCATTCTGTTCAGCGCGCTGTGGTTCCGGAAACCCTAACCTTAACCCTAACCCTTGCCAAGAAAACTGTAGGGATCGGTATAGGATGTCACTTGGGGTCAATGTTGACTTGAAGGATCTTCAAAAAATACGTTCCTGCGAGATGAAACTCGCTAGTGTTCTAGTCGGAAACGGTCTCTTTTTTTCCCCAGCTTCATTTTATGTCTTTTAAAAGTTCTTGGTGACAGAGAACTTAGCTGACCTCAGCTGCAGTGGTGGTATTCTGACAGTTCTATCCGGTTCGGGCGAATTGGTAGCGGCGGCTGAGGGAGGCTCCACACACTCGCCGGGATGTCATCACATCCCGTTTTTGACGCTCTGCCCTGCGCTCACATTTGCGAACTGGTAGCAAAGGTAAGTGACTACCTGCCCCTGCTCGGCTGATTTCGGAAAAACTAAATGTTGTCAAATTCGGTTCGTTCTTGGATGAGAGTCATCAGAAAGTCCCAGGGCTGTAGATCAAGCCACCGAGGTCGAAAAACATCTTCAAGAATTGGCAGACTTTACCGAAGGAATCCGATGAGGTCATCCGCGTAATCCATCAGACTCAAATTCTGCTCGAGCGAATCTTTATTTTTTAAAAGGGTCTAATGAAATGGATTTTTTGGGGCGAAAAGGAGGTCAATGCAAAAGATATTAACTGGGACTCGGTATCCTTCCCTGCATTTCAAACAGTGGAATTTTAAAAAATAATAATAAAAGAAAATAAAATTAAGGCACCTTTGAGATCTGCAGGCAGGCGGAAGAATCTGCATTCCAGTAAGCCATTTAAGCTGCAAAGTAAAATTGGAGAGGAACAAATTTATTACGGCTTAATCCTAGATGGGTCCAGGTAGATATTGGCGGTGAGCATATCTGATTAACTCGAAAGGAATGAAATGGTCTGTGGAAAGTGTTGTGGGAAGCGGATGTTCCCATTTGAAATGTGTTATTATTTTCGTCAACGGGTAGCGCTCTGATTAAATACAATAAACCTAATTCTGAATAATTAATAGCTATAAGTTCCACGGAAGCTTACGGAAGTCTACTCAGAAAGGTGACAAGTGGAAGTGACTGGAGCTTTAATAAGATAAAAGAACAACAATTTTGGAGGGTAATAAGAAAGGAAATAGGGGAGGGAGGGATAGGAGGGTAGGGGGAGGAAGGAAGGATGGAAAGAAAGGAAAAGGAAGAAAGGAAAGGGAGGGAGGGAAGGAAGGAGGAAGGAAGGGAGAGAGAGGGAGGGAGGAGGGAAAGGGAGGAAGGAGGGAGGGAGGAAGGAAGGAAAGCAGGGAGGATGGAAGGGAGGGAGGGGGAGAGAGAGGGAAGGAGGGAGGAAGAGAGGGAGGAAGGAAGGAGGAAGGAAGGAAGGAAGGAAAGGAAGGGGGAGAGAGAGGGAGAGAGGGGGAGGAGAGGGGAAGGAAGGAAGGATTAAGAGATAGAAAGAAAAATTGAAAGAGAAAGAAAAATATAAGAGGGAGGGAGGAAGGAAGGAAGGAAGGAAGGAAGGAAGGAAGGAAGGAAATCTCTGAAGACATACGAGCCATTGATTTTGATCCATACCAATTCTTTTGTGTCGGAAGTACACAAAAGGATTTGCCAGGTGATACCACCACCATTGCACGAGGCACATCCAGTTGGGGGTACCTTCCATGTCCCTGTGAAGTTGCCCACCAAAGTATTAGCCTTTAATCCACCTGTGGTTGCCTTGCATTCAAACTGCTGAGTCAGCAAAAGCTGGAGCATGTGACGGGAACTCACCCCGCCCCACAGCAGCAACGGGGTCTCGAACACGAGATTGTCAATCGTCAGCCCAGCATGTTCTAACCTTGTGAGCCGCTGCGAGCCCCCCCGTTTTTGATCCATTAACGCTAGGGATTTTTTGCCTCTTCGTAGAACAGACTAACTGGAGAAGGAAGTCCGCAGTTGAGAAAGAAAGGGAAACTTTTAAGGATCCAATGCTTCCCTTCGCTCTATCCAAAAGTAACCGTCAAGCACTGGATGAGATATCCGAAGAGGGAGAAAGGTTTACTCTTCGCACTATATGGATCCCAATTCACATAATTCCTAGCAATAGACGTGTTTATTATTTGATAGGACTCCACAGTTCTCCTCCTTCTCCTCCTCCTCCTCCTCCTCCTAGCACTGATAACAATAACAGAGTTGGGATGGACCTCGGACCTAGTGCACTGCTCACGCAGGAAACCTATCCTAGAGATTCGAACCGCCGAACAGCCGACCTTTCTGATCGACAAGCTCAGCGCCTTAGCCACTGAGCCACCTAGCCAGGCTATTTATTTATTTATTTATTTATTTATTTAATTAATTAATTAATTAATTAATTAATTAATTTTTATATGCCGCCCTTCTCCAGAGACTCAGGGCGGCTTACAATGCGCTAAGCAATAGCCTTCATCTTTTTGTATATTTTATACAAAGTCAGCTTATTGCCCCCCACAAACCGGGTCCTCGTTTTACCCACCTTAGAAAGGATGGAAGGCTGAGTCGACTTTGAGCCTGGGGAGAATTGAACTCGCAGTCATTGCAGGCAGCTGGATGTTAAATGCCGCCTTAGTAGGAGGCGTTAGCCTCCTACGCCACTCAAGCTCCTTGATGAGGATGAGGATGTTACCGAGTTGGGTAATGAAACATCTGCAAGAAAATAACCCAGCTCAGAGATCTGCAAGGATCCATGGATTTTAAATTGATAAATTTTAAACTATGGGCCAAATTTAATTATTTTAAATCTATTTTTAATCGTACTTTATGTATAAATGCTTTTATTTGGGCTGTTCACCGCCCTGAGTCCGAAAGGAGAAGGGCGGTATAGAAATTTGAATAATAAATAAATAAATAAATAAAATAAATAGATCCCACAGTCCTCTTTCGTTTATCCCGTTTCTTCTCCTCCTCTCCACAAACCCTACTCCCTTCTAACACTGATGACGTTCTCTAGTTGGGTCGTGAAACGTCTGAAAAGAAAACAACCCAACTCAGAGACCTCCAAGGGACCCCACAGTCCTCCTCCTTCTCCCCCTTTTCTTCTCCCCCTCCATTCTGCAAACCCCACTCCCTTCTAACACTTTCTTGCACGTCTGCAAGAAAATAACCCATTTCAGAGACCTCCAAGGACCCCACATAGTCTTCTCCTCCTCTCCATAAACCCCACTCCCTTCTAACATTGATGACGTTCCCTAGTTGGGTCATGAGACATCTGCAACACGCCACCAAACTCGGAGAGCGCCCAGGACCCTTTCTCGAGACCCCCCCGAGCTACAAATATAATCTCCTTTTGGAGACACGACTCGGAAAGAAAACCAGCCTTGCGTTGGGAAAGATCTGGGACCGAGAAGAGAGGCAGGCAGGCAGGCAGGCAAATTAACACACCTCCATTTTGCTCTTCTCTCTTCTTTTTTTCTTTTTCCCCCCGCCCTGCAGTCTATTGCTTTCAGCTGCTCCTGCAAAGGAAACAGGTTGTGGGGCTGGGGTGGAGTGAGATTTCCCAGGCTTTCAAAAATCAGGCTCCTCATCACTCCTTGGTGGTTGGAACCGCAGACTTCGCCTGGCCCAAAGCTGGCTTGTCACCAGACCGTTTTTTGTTTTTTTTTTTAATTTTGATTTATATGCCGCCCTTCTCCGGAGACTCAGGGTGGCTTACAGTGCGCTCAGCAATAGCCTTCATCCTTTTGTATATTTATACAAAGTCAGCTTATTGCCCCCACAAACTGGGTCCTCATTTCACCTACCTTAGAAAGGATGGAAGGCTGAGTCAACCTTGAGCCTGGCGAGATTCGAACCTGCAGTAATTGCAGGCAGCTGGTCTTAATAACAGGGTGCTTTAGACCACTGTACTACCAAGGCTCCTTAAGCAATAGCCTTCCTACTTTTGTATATTTTATACAAAGTCAGCTTATTGCCCCCACAAACTGGGTCCTCATTTCACCTACCCTAGAAAGGATGGAAGGCTGAGTCAACCTTGAGCCTTGGCGAGATTCGAACCAGCAGAAATTGCAGGCAGCTGGTCTTAATAACCAGCTTAATAACAGGGTGCCTTAAACCCCTGTACTACCAAGGCTTTTCAGAGTGGCAAAGAAAGCCAAGTCCCTCCTAAAGTCCTTAAGACAGTCAGCTGGCCGGATGCCCAGCTCCACCTTTGTCCGCAGAGAACATTGCTTGCAGTGACTGTCTGCCTAAGGAAGCCGAGGAGGAGGAGGAGAGGAGGAGGAGGAGAGGAGGAGGAGGCTGCAAATAGTTCTTGTTTTGGTTGTAAAAAAAAAACCTCCTTTCTCTCGCCTGACTCAATGCTTCCATCGCCCTTCTTAAGAACCGTTTGAAAACCCTTGTTCGTCTTTTTCTTGGAGCTGCCTTGGCTGTCAAACACATTGTGGGTAAGAGCATGGCAACCTTGCACACACCGCCTCCCCAGAAGGCACGAAAGGGAGAGGGGGGGGAATTATGGGGGGGGGTGGCTCGGGGGGGAATGGACAGGCTGACCTCTGCAGCTGGGGTGGGGTCTGGTGCGGGTGGAGGGTTGAACCATAACTTTTCACAGACGGAGTTCGTTCACGGCCTCTTGGAGTTTGCATTCCTAAAACAGAAGCCAGGAACTGGGACAGCTCCTTTCGTCTGAAAGGGGGTCTCTAGGGGATCTCTTGCCGGAGCAGGGCAGGGGTTGGACTAGAAGACCTCCAAGGTCCCTTCGGACTCTTGCTCTTCTCCTTGGTTCAAAGAGAATTATCCAGCCCGCCGAGAATGGAGTTTGCTTTGGCGAGAAGTTTGGAGTTTGGAGTTTGCTTTTGCGTGCACTCGAAATGAGTAGAGGGGGGGTCTCTGTTTGGAGGACCGGAGCCCGAAGGAACCTCTTTGGGTCACACCCCTTGCAAAAAGGCCAAGAGTAGCAATGGCCTGTTGTATCTCCAGGTCTGGAGTAAACATCCTTCAGCCTCAAAGATGAGTTGGCAGAAGGAAGAAGGACTTCCGTGACTCAGCATTTCAGCTTGGGACTATAAACAGCATCGTTTAATGCAGAAGTCTTCAAACTTGGCAGCTTTAAGACTTTAGGATTTCAACTCCCAGAATTCTCCAGCCAGCATGTTCATAGTTATGACCTTTGCAGTGATCAAAATTCAGAGGCTTGAGGACTGGTTCGTATTTATGACGGTTGCAGTGTCTCGGGGTCAGGTGATCCCCTCTTGCGACCTTCGGACAAGCAAAGTCCAGGGGGAAGCCGGATTCACTTAACAACCGGGTGACTAATTTAACAACTGCTGAATCATTGTTACTAACTAGAGTCATTCACTTACCAACGGAGGCAAGAAAGGTCGTAACATGGGGCAAAACTCACTTAACAAATGTCTCACTTAGCAACAGCAACGTCGGGCTCAATTGTGGTCGTAAGCCGAGGTAACTACCTGTATGCAGTTCTCCTCTACGTCAGTTTTGTAATTTGGAAAGTTTAGTTTATTATTTTACGTTTTATATTGTTTTATTTTATTTTATATTTTTATTTTTATCTTTCTATTTTAGTTTAGTTTAGTTTAATTATTTTATTATTTTATGTTTTATCTTGTTTTAATTTATTGTATATGTTTATTTTTATCTTTCTATTTTAGTTTAGTTTAGTTTAGTTTAGTTTAGTTTAGTTTAGTTTAGTTTAGTTTAGTTTAGTTTAGTTTAGTTTAGTTTAGTTTAGTTTAGTTTAGTTTAGCAGCGTGCCCATTGCTTTATGGAACGAATCCATGTCTGGGCTGAACTCAACGGAGACATTAACTTGAAGAACAAAACGTAATGGGCGCTTTTTAATTGATTTAATTTAATTAATGGATTTGCACCAGAGGAAGGCTCCACTTGCAAAAAGGCGCATTCAAATGAGATATTGTTGGCTTGCAAGAGAGGCAGACGGGAGCCTTCAGAAACCAGATGCAATCCTCATGTTTAAACCCATTGTTTAGGGAGCTTCAAAGCTTTGTCTGTTGCCTGCCCCTCCCAATTCAAACAGGATATTCACCG